ATCTTTGACCAGCGCCACCTCGAGTACGCCCTTGCCAGCTCCCCCGAAGACCCCGTCCCCGTCTTCCGCGTGCCCTGCTCCGAGCTCCTGCGGCACACCGAGGTAGCCGCGACGGCCAAGCGGCAGCTGCTCTACAAGCTGCCCCGCGACCCATCCAAGGTCTTCGAGGTCGCCGTCGCCTACCTGCGGTGCTGGTACGACCCATCCGACTACCCGGACGAGAGCTCCTGGGAGGCCCGTTACCACCTCGAGCGGTCGGCGGCCGTCAAGTGCCCGACCGTCCTGACGCAGCTCGCGGGCAGCAAGAAGATCCAGCAGGTCCTGGCCACGCCGAGGTCGGGGTCGTCACCTTCGGTGTTGGGCCGGTTCATCCCCGACGACGCGCCCCAGACGGCAGAAGTTTTCCAGACATTCACAAATATCTTCCCCATGGACACGTCCGAGGCTGGTCTCAGGGCGCGGGGGATCGCCCAGGACCCGGAGCTCTGCAAGAACTACGTGCTGAAGCCGCAGAGGGAGGGCGGCGGCAACAACCACTACCGCGAGGACATCCCTGCGTTCCTCAAGAAGACCCCCGAGACGCACTGGGGCTCGTACATCCTGATGGAGCTCATCACCCCGCCCAAGCAGGACAACATCATCCTCCGGAACGGCAACCTCGAGGAGGGCGGCGTCATCTGCGAGCTTGGCATTTACGGTACGACGGTCTGGAACCAGGGCACCGGGGAGGTCCTTCATAACGAGGAGGTGGGCTATCTTCTTCGGACCAAGGGCGACACCAGCAACGAGGGCGGTGTCGCTGCCGGGTTCGGCTGCATGGACAGCTGCACACTTGTCTGATAGAACGGCGGTTCGGCCCCCACGGGCGAGCTACTTTGGATAGAACATCGAAAAGACAGGCTGTTGCGGACGGTACCAGCTGTTTCCGCGTGACATGTTAGGCATTGAGTGAGGAAGCACGCCATTGGTGCGGGAGAGGAGCAACCCGTGGCATCAATTATCGTTCTAGGAAATGTTTTATACAACACGCTCTCACCCGGTCCAACTGTCATTCAAGCTGTTACACAGAACAAGGAAACATCTACAGGAGCGGAGAGCGATAGAGAACCCAAGGTCGGCCGAAATCCCCAAGAATATACACCCGTCTTCGTCGGACATGTGAAGCAGAGAGCTCCGATCCGATCCGATCCGATCCGTTCGTCCTTAAGGGATGGATGCGTTTACTCGCTGGGGTTGGTGCCGGTGTGAGGCCGCTTGAGGACTTCGAAGTGGCCTGGACGAGGGGTTAGGATGCTTCGGTCATTGCGACCAAGGGAGGAAGACGTACGCTGGTTAACGTTCAGGACGCTGCGGTTCTTGCCCTCGGCGTCCTGGTAGGTGCTCATGGAGGCGTCGCCCTCGACGAAGACCAGAGATCTGCAACCGTACGTTAGCATGTCCCGGATGTGTCCCATTTCTCTCTCTCTCTCTCTCTCTCTCTCTATCCGAACACGGGAGGGGGAGAACGTACCCCTTGGGCACACTCTGGAGGTAGTCGCGGCGGGGACCCTCGGGTTCGAAGCTGGTGACGCGGAACCAGCTGGTTTGGCGGTTGTCCCGGGGGCCGCTGTTGCTGGCGATGGAGTACCGGACGACCTCGCGGCCGGTGCTGGTGGCCTGGAGCTCAGGGCTGTCGGCGAGGTTGCCGACGATGGTGATGCGCGCGACGTTGTGAGACGGGGAGGTGCTGAAGGCGCGGGCGATGCGCGGCGCGGCGGCGGCGCGGCGGAAGAGGGCGGCGGCAGACATTCCTGCTTTTGTTTTGTTTTTTGGTGTTTTTGGTTTCGTGTGTGTGTGTGTGTGTGGTGATGAAGGAGCAGAAGAAGGAACGTGGCGTTGGTTGATGTGTCGGAATTGACGAGACGGAGGCGTTGGTTTTGAGCGGTGCGCGCGCCCGTCGACGCGGTCCCATAATCCAGGGGTTTCAGGCACAAGCCACGGCCGTTTGCTGGGCATGTGGCTCGTGCACCTCCTCCCTCCAGCCGGAGGTCTCTAGATTTTTACACGCATTAATGGTCGGGGATTGCGGCATAGCTCGCCTGCTTTTCATGATACTCCTCTTCCCGTACTAGGTTATCGACATTGCACTCGCCAGTCCAACCTTTCGATAACTGCCGTTCCCCAATGGTCCCGTGACCCTCTCTGATCGAGAAACAGCCTTAGTTCCTCCGCCACTATGGCCAAGCTCTGTTGCACCTCCGAGCGGTGTAGCCGGATTGGTTGACGGCTTGCTTCTGTATGCGTTTTGTAAGGTTTGAGTCGAGATATCCAGATCTTGACGTCGTCTGTCCAGCATTGCATTGGTGCACGGCAACCCGGAGTTAGACCCATTCCGAGTCCCGTCTCAACGTGTCGAGTTGTGGCTCAAACCTGTCGAATATGACCATGGGCCTGACCGGACCGTCTGCTCAAAGACATTGCCCTGCTCGAATCAGGCCTTGCGTTGCGGCTCACACGAGGAAAGGAGCTCGTACAGGTCACAGACCAATGGCTTTCCTACAGTGATCCTGAATAGCCGTCTTGGAAGAGAGCGAGGGAAGCGAATAAATGACAAGAAATGGTCAACCACAAATACGGCCCAAGTTGATGGCCCCCTTTCCCGCTCCTGAACTAACTGCCTTTCCCTTTTAGCTATCGTATGCTGCCGGTGTTGTCTTCTCTTTAAAGGGGGGCACGCTCAGCCGGTCATCACGTATCTCTACGATTCTCTGCATCTTCCTTCTTCTCGGGCCCTTCGCATCTGCTTCGTTCCCTACACGGCGGTCGTCGTCCGCCGCCAACCTTTCGCTATATCTTTGTCGTGATCCGGCCAGGAGCTGGCTTTAGGCGTACCCAGTGTTTCGTCGTCGTTCTATATGTTTCGGATACGGCTTCCCTCTCTGTCTTTCTAACTCGTTGGTTTTCTCTTCGTCTGGCGGATGTGTATAGTCGGAAAGCCGTCCAGTCCGCACCGCCTCTCGAAGGCAAAGAATAACGCTAAGGCCGCCCCGAACACTAACTTAGCGGTTCGGCCGTTCGACATGGCGCCCGTCACCGGCATGCTCACGGCGCGCGCTTCTCTCCTGATTCCCGACCCGCCGTCGGCGCCGTACACCAACGCCTATCTCCAGGCCAACCTCGTCTGCCGCGTCGTCCTGGCCCTTCTAGCCAACGCGGGCTGCTGGGTGCCGCTCCGGAACTTGTGCCGCCAGGGCGAGCTCGCCCCAGCCGTCTTTGTCGGCACGGTCATCGTCGCCAACTGCCTCGCCGCCGCCAACGCCCTCGCCTGGCGCGACGACGACGTGTACCGGTGGTGGGACGGCCGCGTGTGGTGTGACCTGCACGCCTACCTCTATCAGCCTCTCATGCCCCTATACTGGCTCTCTGTCGTCGCCATCACCCGCAACCTCGCTCAGCAGATGGACCTGTCGCGGGCCAGCCCCTTGTCCGGCCGGGAGAGGCGCAGGAAGAGGCTCGTCCAGGCCCTGATTGTGTTCCCGCTCCCGGTCGTCCAGGCTAGCTTGCTGTATCCGATATCCTCGCAGAGATACAGGATCGTCACCCTGACCGGGTGCATGTGGAGCGGCCATCCGAGCTGGCCCCTGTTCGTCTTCTTCCTGGCCCCGCGCCTGCTGGCGGTTCTCGCGTCGGTGTACTACGCCGGTAAGTCTTTTTCGTGTGCGTTTGCGGCAAAAGAAGAAGAAGAAAAAAGCCTGGCACTCACGGCGATTCGCAGTCCTCACCTGGAGGCGCTACAGTCTGGTTGCGCAGTTCACCCGCCCGGCTCTCATGTCGAATGGCTCGGCGGCCTCCCGGGCGAGCCGGACACGACGGCGGCTTTTCCTCGTCATGGTCTGCATCCTCGTTCCCTACGCCCCGGTGGAATGCTACGTGGCTGCCACGCAGTTCAGGGCCTTCTTTCTCTCCAACGGCTTCGACTTCCATGGGATCCGGCAGCGGGCCGACCCCTTCCCGTGGAACACCATATTGCTCCTCCCCAGCAGCAACCTCAGCTTCTTCGAGCTCAACCACCAGTACCTAGTCATCGCGACCGCGGCTCCCGTCTTCTACTTCTTCGGTATGACGGGGGAGGCGGCGGGGATCTGCCACCGGGCATTGCGGACCGTTGGCCTTGGCAGGGTCTTGCCGTGGCTCCGCGAGGGGCCAGCCTCGGGGCGAACAGACCGGCAGTCGGGAATCTTGCTGCAGGCAGAGACAGAGTAGGTGCTGCGCTCGCTTTATCCCAGAACGTTGAGGGTTCTTGGCTGACGCCCATCACTAGCCTGGAGCTGACTAAGTCGGCCGACGATAGCTCCCAACACGTCCATGTCAGTCATGTTTCCATGGCCCGCAACTCGGCACCCTCTCCCCCCTCATTGTATGGAGGCGAGCCTGAGAGTCCTGCCGAAGAGCTGTCGTATCCCGCAAAAGCACAGGCAGCCATCGATGACGGTTGGAGCACGGTCTCGGCACCAGGACCCAGAACCGTGGCCAAACGCGGCTGGCCCCGCAGCCACTCGCCAGAGGTGCCTCCAACCCCCTCGATCCCCCGCGTCACAGCGACCTGGCGTTTCTGGACGGTCGGTCCGCCACCACCTCGCCAGCCGGGGCCCACGTACACACCCAGTCACGGCCGGACGAAGACTGTAGATGGGTGAATTGTGTGTCACGCCTAGCCTGAGCCCGAGCCCGTCGTCGACCGGCGAATGTCGATGCCATGGTTCGAATGAATATTCCAGGCTTGCCATACGATATCAGGCATACAGGTATAATCACGAAATGATCAAGGAAAGTGTCGAAGGGATGGAGATCTTTTATATAAATATTACAGGGTCCTGGACCCAGCTATATGATTCGAGTCGAGTGCTGGTCAGTAGGATCGCTCGATCCCCCCCTTTCTGTGCATAACCAGGGTCCTCCGCATCTCAGCGATCGCCCTTAGCCGCAAAATCCCACCCGTGAAATTGAAAGACGTAATCAAAAGCGCCAAGGCAACCAGCAAGCAACAATAAAGTCATTGAAAATCGCATTCGTAACTGTCCCAGCCAGAGGGATCCTGAACTCCGCGCCATGCCTTGGTATAAGGTACCTAGTGGTAGGGTGGGGGGTTGTGGCGAATAAGAAAAGCCAACTAACCCCGGGGAATAAATGGATATCGAGTGCCTCGTAAGGTAGAGAGGCTACGGTCGTATAAATTCATGTCGGTTCGTCCCACACCGCGGCCGATCCGGTATTAAAAACATTGTATGGTGAAATACGGATTTGAAAAGAAGGATAGACCACGAAAGACAAAGTCGTGTTCACAGTCAAATATTATGCCACAGCAACGGGCGGCGGCTCCATTGGCAAGCCTTCGGATCTCGAGCCCCCAGGCGTGCTAGGGGCTGGAGCGATTTCAGGGTCCGGGATTTGGATGTCCAGCTACAGTCCGGGTCAGCACCTTGAGCTGAGCAGAGGGATGGCAAACTTACTGTCATGTAACCGGTTTTCCTTAGGGAGATGATGCGCGGCGCCATCGAGCCGTCCTCGTTGCCAAAAGTCTTCTCCATCTCAGTGTTCCACTGGTCGATCCAACGTTCCAGGCGGTCCAGCCGAGCCTTGACTCCGGTGAAGCCCAGATCATCCCATAACCAGCCCGTCATAAGGCCCAGCAAGCCGTCCAAAATGTTTCTCCAACTATACGGGCTGAAGACGGGAATGAGCTCGCCGTTGAGCTTGTCGATGATCCTTCGAAATTCCTGTTCTGACAAGCCTGCCGGGTCCAGAATCTCGGGGTACAGGTTGGAGAAGGTCGGTGCCAGGTCTCCTTCTATCAACCAGTCCCGACGTACGCGAATGATTCGAGTGTTTCGATACTCGGGAGAGTCGACAGGGACGTGAGGGTTAAGGTGCGGGAAGCAAGGGTGTTGCGGTCCCCATTCCTCGCCCATGTCTGGCGGCAATTCCTCTCCCATGATGGATGAGTTTGAGGAGGAAATGGCGGAGCCAATGCCCATGGCATCGCCAGCCGATGCATTGGAGTAGCGTGGGAGCACATCGGGACCTCTTTCCAGGTCCTTGGAGGGGCCTCGCGTCTGACTTTCGGTTCCCTGCTCCATCACGGCCTTTTGTTTTCCCTTGTCGATATCGAGCGTGAAGGCAAAGTCGTGGACGAGGGGACTTAGTCCTTCCTGAGCGTCGGCGGGGCCAGCGTCGAATCCGGGAACAGTTGGAGAAGGATCCGCAGACCTCCTTCCGTCGTACGAATGATGAAGCGAGGGGGGGAGACTAATGCGATGTTCGGCGTTACCACTCCGGTCGATGTGGAGGCTTGCTCGGGCGGAGGTAGAATGTCGCGTCTGGCGCTGCTCGGGGAGAGTCAGCAACGGGTAGTCGCCGGCAACGATTCCCAGGTGATCGGCAGGGTAGAGGGAAGATGGACCGAGGGTTGGGTGAGATAGCGGGACGGTGGGCGGGGGCGGTGTTGATGGACGTCGTCTGCGTCGGGGCTTGTCGGGAAGCCTGGGGGTGGAGTTGGTCGGGTTCCAGAGACGGGCAGCGGAGAGGTGAGGAAGTCGACGGGCGGCAGAGGAGGCTGCACGATTCCGAAAGGGAGATTGTAGGAGATATTCTTTGGGGTCGTATTGGTGTGGCAGGGACTGGGGATGGAATTGGGACAAGCCAGCGGCGGAGGCAGCGGCGGCTACTGGACGTTGCAGGTCGGGCGAAGCGCCAGGATAAGCGGGTTGCTGCGAAAGCGTGGTGAGTCGAGGATTTGCGGGAGCATCTAAGGTGGGCGATGACAAAGGCGTGTTTCTCGCGTGGGAAGCCGTGGGAGGAATGTTTCAACGAAGGCCGCCGCGAGGACGACGGCCTTACGGGGCAGGGTGGAAAATGGGTCTTGCCGACGAGGAGATTGCACCGACGCCTGAGCCAGGCTCTTTGAGGTCGCCAGGGCCTCTTTAAGCGGACGAGGCGGCGGCGATGGTGGGAGGAGCGAGAGGGGTGGTTGAGACAATCGCTGGGGCAGGGAGTAGAGGGAGAAGGAGGAGGACCGTGTGTGTCTGGAGAAAGGATATTGTCGAATGGCGAGAGTCGGTTCGCGCAGCAGAGCGATTAGGTTTGCAGCTAGATGTGTGGGGACACGGACAAAGGAATGCAAAATCGTGCAGGTGCAGACGACTGTGGCTCGGGCTGCACCTTTGGGTTTTGCTTGAACGGCGGTGGTGTTATCAATGCAAGCGCTGGCAATGCGAATGCTGCCAATGGAGGGCCGCAGGGGTTGAAGAGGGCGAAGAGCGTGATTGGCGGTGTTGGTGATGGCGATAGTAGTAGCAGCAACAATAGCGGTCTTGGTCCTGGAGTTGGGCCGAGAAGCCTCAACAGGAGGCGGACGAGGGGTGGTGTCGCTGTGGCCGTCGCTGTTGATGCTGGTGCTGGTGTTGGCACAAGCACGGGTGGTGGTGGTGGCGGCGGCGGCGCAGGCACGGGTGCAGTTGGCAATTGACGAAAATGAAAAGAACTGCGCCCAAATGAGCGGCCGAATGCAGGCGGACGGTGTTGAATGAAAGGTGGGGATGGCGTTCAGGGGGGGAATGGCCGAGATTGGGTTGGAGCTCAGTCCCAGCATTTTGGGAAGGCCAGCCGCTAGTGTACGTTCCGGCAAGAGGCCCCGGGATGGGGGAGGAAAGGAATCGATACTTCCTTCCCTCGCTCCCTCTCTCAGCGTTCACACCTGCCAAGTCGCTTCACCACACCCACCTTTTGGGGATGGCTGGCAGGCAGGAGCGAAAGAGGAGAAGAGAACCCTTGGGCTAGGTACCTACCTATGTACGCACGGTAGGTACCGGTAGATCCGAGTGACCCGGGCCAAACAAAGTAGGTACGAAGTACAGATAGGCTAGGTAGATACTCCGGACGCAAGGTGGAGGATGCGTACCTATGTCAAAGGTGCAGGAACGACAAGGGATGGGGAGAATCTGGAGGAGACCACGATCGGCCGCGTCCTGGCCTTCCTCTACCTCCTTGCTGCGTGACTGCGGGTGTGATGGAGTGGTTCGGATCCAACGCGTTCCTGCAGCTGCCGGCCCCCCAATGCAAATAATAGAAGTGGGGGGGTCAGCGGATCTGGGGCTGTCTCGCTTCGTCTTTGCTGCTTGCTGATTCGGGCTTCTATTGAGAATCGTTTTCGGCCAAGGAGAGAGCGAAATCGCCTACGTCGTGAGCCGTATATCGTATATACGTGCGCGAGTGCGTGTGCGTGGGTTTGGGCTGGCCAATCGATCTTTCGAGTCGTCGTAGCCGTCGTTGTTGTCGTCGTCCCTCGTCATACGAGTTCACGAATGTGCGTGCCAAAGTCCGATCGATCAACAAGGCAGACTGTCGTCCGCAGGTTCCCGCAGTGTCGCAGGCAAAAAGCAATCCAGATCGGAGAAAGAGAGACAGACGACTGCTTAACTTAATAGTTCCGAGTCACTGTCGGAGCAGCGCCCATCATACGACGGTTCGGTGGTCCGGCGAGGAAATTCCGGCTATAGATAGCTGCAGGGGGGGGGGGGGGGGGGGGGGGCTCGACGATTCTGTTGGGGCTTCTCTGGTCTTCTCTGGTCTGGAAAGGGTCTCGCTACAAGAAAAACAAAAAAGAAAGGGAAGGACTAGACGCGATACAGAGAACCCTCTGCCGACTGACCTGCCGTCCCTGGTCACCAATATATGATATAACGGGCCTTCGCCGCCGCCCACGCTTTCCTGCTGACTCGAATGGCACTCAGCCTCGGGGATTACCTCCCTGTCGTCCCGGCCAACGGACAAGGTGCTTTAAGATTATATCGGAAGCCTTGCAAACTTTGCCGCCACGCAGGCTCGGCCTCATCTCTGACACGCCTGTGTTGCGTTACATAGCAAGTTTTGCTGGTTCCGAGTGACGCATTCTGTGCTCGCGACCCCGGAGAGTCACCCTTGCTGGTTCTTCTTGTTGCCCGGCGAAGCCCCGCCAGATGCCAGGGTTTCCCACGGGTTGTCCGGCTCGGCTGAAGCAAATCTGTGCCTTGCTTTCAATGAAGAAAAAAATTAATTTTTTTTTCTTCCAGAAATCTCGTGGCATAAAGGAGGTAGAGAGAATTACCAACGATATCCCAACCGCATGTCCCTGTCCATTCACAACACATTTCGGCGTAAATCTTGCATTACACTGGCCTCAACAGGAATGACTGACTTTTTCTTGGGCAGAGCCGAGTCAACTGCTGGTTCATAAGAAGCCCGCCCATCTATACTAGCTAACATGTTTGCAACGGCTGACCATTATATGTAGCACGACCATGACAGAAAGAAGAGCCCTACTGTTATGGTAACAACAGAAATCTCTGCACGCTGATCAACCAGCTGCCGTTGCGCCCGGGTCCGTCTGTGCGTTGTGTCCACCTCGCCAACTGCCGTGAGATGACATGATTACCGGTCCCGAAGAAGAGGCCGGCAATTTGCCTGTCGGCCTTGCATAATAGCATCCTAAGAACACACAAGTACAAGTACAAGGCGGCCCCTCGTAAGGTCGCCAGCTAGGTACGCTATATTGACTACACACTCTGTCTAGATGCACCATCTGTTTAGGGAGTGTAAACCGTACAGGAGAAACCTCTCCTACATAATAACATTGGCAACGCCTCCGAAGTCGAGACCATAAGCCTCGGGTCTCGGTACACCGTAGGGGTATCACTGTAGTGGCTGTTTTGACACTGTGGTTATCCTACGAACACACGTACTCCTTGTACATCGGATATCCAGCTGGTTCAAGACATGTTCACACTGTCTCTGGACCCAGAAAAATTACATGGAACGGGAACACGGATCTGCCAAACACCCCAAAACTGACGAGTTCTAGATTCGACCGATCCATCTTTGGAACCACAGATTGGGAGTTCCCCTTGTGCAGTTCTGGTTCAAGTAGCGGGGGCGCCAATACCTGCCTTACCAGGTTAGTTGGGTAGTTACCTAGGTACGTGTCTACCTGTTAATAAGCAGGTACCTACGAATCGCTCTCAGTGGATACCATTTTGCAAGAGAGAGCTACCAATGCAACCACAGTTTCTCCATCAAACCTGCGTGTGCATTGCGCTCATCGCATATGCTTTTCACGACCGGCTGTTTTCGGGCGCGGACATGGTGCCTTCGTCGGGAAGGGCCAGGACGTGAATGATACTTGCGTCATCCTCTCTCAGACGTGTCTCCGAGCAGGAACCTGACGAATGTGAGTGAAGCGAGAGCACAACTCATACAGCACCAGGGCAAAAGTCTGGTAACAGCGATGAGGATGGCCCAATCAACAGCAATAGTAGTGATGAGGCATACGTCCTTTGGTGGTGTACTGTGAAGTGACCCCAAGCTGATTGGTCCCTTTTGTGACTCCTAATCGGGTTGTTCATATTGCTGTTGCTAGACTTTTGACCCAGTACTGTAACCGCAAGAACGAGGCTATCTCCCTTGAGAGTGGCTAGGCCGGGGGTTTCTGGGGTCTTGCCTTGGTCAGTTAGTATTGACACCTGCATGAGACATGCAGAGTATCCCCTCTGTCGATCACACTATCCAAGCAAGACAGCCAACCGCACGCGGCTTGCTCCTCAGCCGCGACTACCTGTGCATCGCTCGCTAATCCATACGGTCGTTGCGTAGCTTGAGCCGCATACTAGTATGTATGGTTTACTGAGCGGAGGTGCTGTTGTTGTTGTTGTTGTTGTTGCCGCCGGTTGTCACAGATGAGTTTCTGCCCGCCCGGCAGAGCTTCTACATTATTCCGACATGCATGGCCGCAACAGGCTGGACTTCAGAACCCTTCCCACTTTTCGTTTTAGTTTATGTTTGCACGTCGTTTGCGCCGGCGGCTGGGTTGACAATGTCGACGAGACATTCCCCGTGGAGAACTGTGGGGTTTCCGCCCGACACCCTAGCCGGCTCCGTCCCCATGGCTTCCTAGACGCCTGACGGCCGCAAACCGGCACTGATGATTCGATTCATGGCGGCTACCTACGTGCTACATAGTATACCGCTTTTGGTCCTTGGACGGCGCTTCCCGATACGGAAACTGACCATGCTCCGATTTACCTTGGTTGACTAGGTCGTTGTTTGTTGTTCTGACGACATCGAGCGATGTATTCTAAACTGAGCATGTCACGGATGGAAGAAGCGCCTGTTGCATGCAGCGGCCCCAGCTTTTTCGAAACACCCAGCCTGCCACCACATCTCTTGCCGCTTCTTTCAGCTCGCGGGGCCGGATTTGTCGCATCCTGGGGCCAGGTCACGATGCTTCACCACTGTAGCGAAACAGCACTAAGCGACTGAGGCTCGATGACAGCAATCCTCGACAGGAGTTCTGGAGTACACGCTCGCCGGTCTGACGGGCACATCCAGGTTCGCGGAGCCCCGAAGGGATTTGCAGATCCTTCTGTTGCACGAAGGGCACTACGCTTGGCCAGGTTCAGATGATGACATGGTCAGCTTTGGCGGACACCGTGGCACGGCTTTCTACCCGACGCCGATGACGTTGCCGTCACGATATCTGTCCCCATCAAACAAGCCAAGCGGCCGTTTCTCCAGGAAAAGGTCAACGCGCCGGCCAGGAACGAAGCAACCGGGGCCTTTTCCCTCCCGCCAGCTTTCCCCATCGCCACACCCATCCAGCCCACGGTATCTAGGTACATCGCATCAGGCGGGGGCGATGTCGGATTGGTTGTAGATGACGAAATGTGTGCGACGATAATAACTCGGAGGGTGTTTTTTATTTTGTTTTTATTTATTTTAGTTTGTTTTTTATTCTGGGTTCGCTGGGGCGGAGGGATGGGCCGACTCATAACTGAGTCACAGAAACCCGAAAATCTTGGCCGTAGCCAAGCCAGAGGTGGGTTTAACGGGTCGTTCATCCGTTGATGATCACCCGCTTGGTGTAAAGCATGGTTCACGAGCTTCCAGAGCTGGTGGGCCGCAAGCCATGCTAGTAGTAAGCCGATAAGGTTTAGGAGAGGTATGCATTTACCTCTCCTTTATTTCTTATCTTTGACCTCCCACTGGTGACGACGAGAAGATGATGGGTTTGTAAGCGAATGTCGCTCGCTCTAGACGCGTGCGCCGAGAAGGCGAGATGGTGGGATGAGATACCGGTAGCTGTTTCACGTCTCACTAGTCTATGTATGGCTACGAACCGAGGCAGGCTACACATAATAAACGATGTGTTGACGTATTTGAAGCTCGTCCGGCATGTGCAACGACGCGACTGACTTCGAACGTCTCTCTACGAAGCAGCAGCAGCATCAGCAGCAGCAGCACAAATAAGAGGGAGACGGACATGTAAAATGCGAGATAGATGACGAAGTGAGGTTGAAGTGGGAGTTGGAGAACGGCTCTCTCGGCCCAGCCCGACGTCCACAGTGGAGCTCCAAACAGGGCTGGTCAGATACGGATGCGGGCAGAGCGGGAGCGGGGGTGGGAGGGGCGCGGGTTGCATCACTGCATCATCACCCCTGTCGTCAGCATCGACGGGCCATAAGCAACGCAGTGAAGCAGCCACACTCCAAGCCGCCAGCGGCCTTTGCTCCAGCCCCGGCGCAGCTCCCTACCAACCACAGCCAGCTGCTAATGTAAACTTTCAAAGCCGGGTTTCCTCGCCATGTACTCGCCGTGGCATTGTGTAGGGCAGTATACTTTGCCTCGGTTGGACTGAGACACTTCAGCCAGATGCAAGCCTGATTCCCTACTTACCTACAGTGCCGTACTTCCTATTGCCGCCCACTTTCCATCCCGGACTGCGGGCGCATTTCTTCACCTCGCGTGTCTCTCAGCACCTGCCCGTCCCGTCGTCTACCCTCTCGACTTCCGCCCCCGATTCCCGCCCACGTCTCCTTGAAGCTTCGTTTCATCCCGAATCACGCCTTGAGAGGAAGCGAACTGACGCGTGACAAGGGCAAGCAAGGCACCTTGCCTCGGCCATACGTCGTCGACCACGATTTGAGACTGTCAAGTTGGCGGACGCTCTCTCTCTCTCTCTCTCTCTCTCTCCCTTATGCAATCACGTCCTGGTACCTTACCTGGCTGAGGCAGGCAAGGACGATCCAAAGTCGCCACCACCAATGCCCAGGGACTAAAACCACGTCAACTCCCGCCAAAATACCACGCCATAATCATCATCAGCCCGTGGCGCTTCACTTGTCGCCCTTGGTACGCCTGGTCGAACCAGTTCCCCCGTACGCACGCACGCTACTCCACACTACGTCTCTCTCTACAAGACACATAATACCCGATCTGTAGTTAGCGGCCATTCCTCCCCCCCGGCGCCTCTTTCTCATTTCCTCGCTCCCTCCCCTTTCCTCCTAGAATTCAGGAGGAAGGCCTACCAACACAGACACCCCTCCCATTTGTTCACAAGGGCGGATGAAGAGCCCTCAAAACCCCTCGACTGCCTGTCCCTAGCTTGGACTCGCACGTCTTCCGTCGAATCTCGTGCAATCGACCGATACCGAAACAGAACCCATCAGGACGACGCCAATAGAACAGCAGACAACAACCACAACTAACACAAAGAGCCACCCGGCCTGGACCCTTTCATGCCATCCGCCATGTCGGACGAGAACAGCTCCCGAAGTCCGACCTCGCCGGTCACGGCGACGAGCAACATCAGCAGGAAGCAGACCGTGTCTTCGCCCGGAACAACAGCTTCGCCAGCGCCTTCGGGCCACTTCAGGCGCGCTGTGACGGCAGACGAAAATTCTCAGATGCGGCGACGTGCGCCTTTTGGCCATATACCCACTGACAGCTCGTTCTCAGAGAAGGGCCTGGGGAGGAGGAGAAGTTCAACCTTGTCGGATTACAGCTTCACCGAAGCTAGAGACTTCCTGAACCCGAGACCTGGCGATGGTACATTGCCCACGTCGGCCGACGACATGTCGAACTGGGCCTCGATCCCTCTCGCCTTCGCACTTCTTCCTGCCGTCGGCGGTATGCTATTCAAAAATGGCAGCGCCATCGTGACGGATGTCATGCTATTAGGCTTATCGGCCGTGTTCCTGCATTGGTCTGTGACACATCCATGGTAAGTTTGCGCTCTTTGGCTTTCTTGTTTACTGCTTGTGCAGAACCACCCGGGCACTGACATCGGCCACCCAGGAACTGGTATCATTCGGCGCAAGCGGTGCGCGTCCGCGCCGAGGTCAGCACCAGCGCCGTGATCGATGACGAGAGCGACATGGAACAGGCCGTCGAGAGCCCGTCCCCGACGGCATCGACGGCGAATGGCCACACGGCGAATGGAAGCATCGACGACACGTCCGAGATACCCGCTACGCCCACATCCTTCGTGCAGGAACAGGTGCCCAAGTCAACGGCTCGGACCAGAAAGGAGGACGCGCTGGCGGAGCTCTGGCTGCATGAGATTCTGGCTTTGATATCATGCTTCATGTTCCCGATGCTGGGAGCGTACTTGCTGCATGCCATCCGCGCGCAGCTGAGCCGGCCCTCGGAGGGTCTCGTCTCCAACTACAACTTGACAATCTTCCTGCTGGCCGCGGAGGTCCGTCCGATATCGCACCTAATGAAGCTTGTTCAATGCCGGACCATCCAGTTGCAACGAGACGTCCATGTCAACCCGTACAAGGACGACGGCGTCACGTCGGATCAGGTCAGGGCACTGGTGGCCCGCTTGGATATGCTGGAATCGCGGCAGGAGCCGACACCGATCAGGCATAACGGCAACTCGGACACCACAAAAATTAAGCAAGAAGCCTCCATCGCCCGTGATGTCCGCAACGCCATCCAGCCCGACCTCGACGCGCTGAACCGAGCCGTGCGGCGGTACGAGAAGAAGGCCACAGTGCTCGCATTCCAGACCGAGTCGCGCTTCGCGGCCGTCGACACGCGCTTGAACGACGCCATCGCACTGGCGGCGGCGGCGGCCAAGAACAGCGCGGCACGGCCGGGCTTCATGCAGTGGCTGGTCGAGTCGGTGTGGGCCGTCCTCACGATGCCCTTTTTCGCCATGGTTGCTCTGCTGGTGCTCCCGTTCAAGACGGTCCGCGGGCTGCTCAAGCGCAAGAAGAAGTCGATGCCGGAAAGGGCATCCAGGTCGAGCCGCAGCGGGAAAGCCATGGGACACGGCCGGGTCGCAGCGGACAGGCCGCCGAGCAGGGTTTCGAAGAGGTGACGGGAAAGGCCATGGGCGTTGGGCGGGCGGACGGGCAGGCTGGCTTGGAGTTACGAACATGATATCCTCTTTGCAAAACGGGAGATGTCCTCATCTGGTTTCGGGGGGCTCAAGGGAAGGGTCGATTCCGATGGCGTTACAAAAACGGGTGTCATCGCTTGCCAGGTAAACACTAGAACGACCGGGTTGACGAATATTGCCTACTCCGTATCGGTAGTCTTGAATCAAGGATCTTGAACGACCCATTTCCCTCCGATGTGATCCCTCCCATCAATCTGCCGAGAAGCGACATGAGCGCGATCTTTGGTACAATTTGTCAGAAGGACGAGCATTATAAGTCTCCCTTACCATCGCTCTCGAGCGGACGACCGCTTGTCAGGGCATCGTTCGTTTGATCCAAGGTGTCTCCCCGTGGCGTGACGAGACGAGGCGCGAGTCCGCGGCGTCGCATCCCGAACCCCCCTCCCCCCCTCGGGCAATCGGCCTAGCCCAAAGGGTTGGTGTATATCGCCGTGCCTTGATGGGCAGTAGTGCTGCTCGAGGTCTGCAGTACAGCTCACGTGACGCGGTGCGAGGTTGGAACACCAATATGGCGACCGAGCTATCGCCACTTGGCTCGGTCCCGGTCGCTGTCGGATTGGATGAGAAATACCAGGCCACGACCCGCAGGAGGCCAGGATCAGGCGAGGGGCGGTCACAAGTGTGATCTCCGTCGGTGCCGGGAGGGTTGGAGTCCACTTGGCTCCCAAAAGCAGGTCTCGCAAATTCACGTATATGATGCTGAACGTAGCAGAAGAACAGGGTTAAAAGGGGCAGGTCATTCCCAGATTTTGGAACCCCCCTCCCCACTGGGCGGCGGCTGTGGATGATGTATAGACGCGCGAGTTGGAACTGGTCTCTGGATCTGGAAGAGCGCGTGCCAGCTTTGTCCGAACAGGGCCACCCGAGTCCTCGTGGCTCGTGGCGGGAAAACGTGGGAACAGGACCATGGATTGACATGAGATGGAAGGCATGCTGGCTAAGGCAGGAGGAAAGGCAAGAAGATGCCAATGTTCCGTGCCGCCATGTGCAGTCATGTCTGCGACGGTCTAGGGGTTTTCCGCGAAGTCCGTTACCTAACCCTTTTTCTTTTTTTTCTTCTTTTTTTTTTTCAAAAAAAGAAGGAGGGGAGGGGAAGGGAGGGGGGTGCGGCCCGAGAGTAATTTGAGTTCCTGGGAAGCTGGGGAAGTCCAGAGCGGTTAACCAGATACTATGTGACGTATGGACGGGGGGGGGACCGCGGGAAACGGACGTCCTTCACGGCGGTCGGCGGAACGAAGGCTTGGTACCGGAACGGAGGTCGAGAGCCAGACCAGGTCTGTGCGGACGCTTCGAGTTGCAAGGCCCGTCCGCGTGGGTGAGACGCCCGATATTGACTGGGTGATCCCATAACGAACATAATTCACGGTCGAGACATACGTTGCAAACACGGGGGAGACGGGAGCGGGTGGAATCTCACGGTCTGGATTCGACGAATAAGCCGCCATGCGGATATCTCAATAGTGAACGGCATGGCCAATGGATGTATGCTTCTTCAGCAAAACTTTTGCAAGACCAACCCCCCCTCCCCCATACTATGTATGTTGAAAGGGGCCGAATCCCAGGGAGTCTGTCAAGGGGGAAGCCTGTTGACGACCACGGCACAAACCTGGTCTACGCGAGACTTCGGACGAACCGTCGACGAAGATAGAGTTCAGTGGGGGGTGGTATTCTGCGCCTTGACTTTTTGGCAGAGTCGTCCCATATTGAGCTGAATGGAAAGAAAACCCCCCTTGCAATGAAGACTGTAGGGCAAGCAAGTGGCTCGCAGGAGTCCGCAGACGTGGCGCGCGGTGGGATTTGTGGGACGAAGCCCCAATAATGTGCGTCAGACAGGACAGCAGCAGGGAGGCGCCGAAATTAGCTTGTTGCTTTTCTCGGGTTGGTAGACGCATCAGATGTGGAATGCCAGGGCCAGCCCATTCAGGCGCGGGGTTTCCGGTTATCAGGATTTTAAAGACAAAATAAATGAAGAGAAATATTCCCTCAGGACCGCTAATATGGGGGGAGCTCATGCGGCGAGGCTTTGCCTGTATCATAGCGGGCAAGGATGCGAGGGCCCCTTTATGCGGCGAGGCGCAGGGCGTGGGGTCCAACGACGGCTGTCGAACAAGGCCACCCAGTATCGCCCGATCGGGTACTCGACCCCTGCCGGCTCCGCGTTGGTAGCCGACAAGCCGCACATCGAGCATACGAAGGGAGTTGGAACTGCAAGACCAGTTTCCTTTCTACTGCTTTTGATGGACGGCACGAAGAAGCGATGGATCAATAGGGGAGGGTGCCAAAAATAAGACACGAACCAACGCTTGCCGTTGAAGGGCTGCGAGATGGTTAGGCTGGGATAGGGATGGGGCGACGTCGGCTTATTTTTGGCGGCCTCGACGTGTGCCAGTCTCCAGATGCTCCGTGCTGCTGATCAGGCAAACCGCGTTAAATGAATGAATGGTCTTTCCGTTCCAGGCTGAACCGACACACCGGTTGGCCGCCAACCAACCTGTCATTGTCGAAAGGTCTAATGGCAGGGGCACGCATCTCACGGACCCCACTACCTAGCTCGCTGCCGTCAAGACTCGAGAAGGGGGGCCCCTCTGGGCAGTCCGGGTGACAAAGAGCAGGCTGTCTGTGATCAGACCGCGCCGGACCTGCGATGGGTCTTTATTGGTGAAGCCGATGATAAGCCTTTCTGGATCTCGATCGGGTGGATAGAGGTAGCCGAGCAAGGCCTGACCGGTCACGATGATGTGTGCGTGTGTGTGCGACGGAGATGGCAAGGCCGTGACGGGCGATCACTGGAGGTGGAGTTGTGGGTCGAGATCCAGGTTCAGATGTTCTTGAACATTGTTCACCATGGCAAATGTATAATGGTGAGATGGAAAGGTCCATACCTAAATCTAATGAGGGACTTGCGCCTCCAAGTGCACAGCCGCAGCTCTCCACTTGCATGGTTCTTCTTTCTGCTTTTGGAGCGTTGCGATGCGATGCGATGCGATGTGAGGGGAAGGAGCCATCGAGCACGGGCCTGCCGAAATCTCTTATACTTTCCTCCGGAGGGGGGTTGCTCTCTCTCTCTCTCTCTCTCTCTTTTATTTTATTTTATTGTTTATTTTTTAGTTTACTTCTCAGGCCATACCTACATTACAGTAGTAGTCATTCCTTCCCCTTTCATTTTCCGAACGCCGTTGAGCTACGGCGGCGAAAATCAAACATATACCTATCCAAGACGATCTCGTTAGCAGAGTATCCCTAAATTGGACCAGCGCAGATGGCTACTGGCTCTGGGCTCTGGCCCTAGGTCCGGAGTAGACTCCACGTACATGGGTACGTACCATTCATCCAGATGAGAAGCGCCGGTGGACCTGTGATCGTCCTCGTCCCGCGGCGTCAGTGCAACTCTCATTTCACCCATCACAGCCGCTCTCGAGTTGAGACCGGATAGGTACAGGTGCGGGTACTGACCGACTGATTAACTGACTGCATGTGGCGCCTTTGCTTCTTGCGTCACAGCTTGCTGCTGGCCAACCTTACCTAGGTAGGTAGGTACCTACATGGTTTAGGATATTCTGGATGGATACTATAGTAGCTGTAATTTCATCTAGGTCTACCGGCCTTGTCTCTCTCCCCCTACGCCACCGATCTGGCGGAGGCGAAGCCGACTCAGATGGCAATAGGTAACCCCCTCCTCGTCTACCTGTACCTGCCCTTCAGCGCCTCAAAAAAAAGCAAGCTTTCGCAATGCATAAACATGGCCGAGACGAGACGTGTCCGCATCTGGACATTGAGTCGCAATCCGGTTGCCGGTGGCAGACAACTATCGATCCTCCCAATATGATACTGTTTCCTTGCAGCGACGTGGTGGTGTGGTAGCTGGTGGAGAAGCAGCAAAACCAGTCGACGTGATTTCCACATCATCATCATGACCGACTCGTACCTCCCTCGTCGGGTGGATGCTCTACCTAGGTGTACCTACCTAGGTAGGTATAGAACAAAACACCTCGCGAATGACACAGTCCGGCGTCACCAGCTTCTTGAACCAAGGCCGGTCCACACCAGCGCACGCTGCGATGCACTGCACTGCGCATCACCTTGCTCAGAGCAACAATGCTCCGCCGCCCGTCTCGGGCATTTCTTTTGCCGTACGGCACCGACACAATCGATAGGTGTCTAGGTAGGTAGGGCCAGAGAGGTTGTTGAGATGCAGGAGGTGACGTCTCTCCGGTGTCGTACACGTACACACAGGACGGACCGGGACTTCCCCTCATCCAATCCCACCTACACCATTTCTCTCATCGTTAATCATCCCATCTGCGCACGCCCCTCCATCTCATTCCGTCTCTCATCCAATCCGGGATTCCCGTTCGTCGTGTGCGTCCGTCCAATTGGCAACCCCCCCCCACTCCCCCACATACGCCCCCAAACCCACCCCTCCACCATCGGGCTTTTCTTATGTGTTCCTGATTGTCTTGGTGTAAACTAATATTCCCATCCGAGTCAAACGCTGAGCGGTGGGGTGGGGGGTGGTATCCCGGGTGTCGTCCCCTGTCCCTGTAATTTAGGGTGAAGCCGCCTCGACTTCAGACGACTGCTCACCACTCGCCAGAACACTACGGTTTTTTTTTTTTTTCTTCACCTCTCTTCATTTCACCTCGCGTCTCTCCTCGTCGCGCCTCGGCGCCCTTCCGCCCGGGCGTTTGCTCAAAATGCACATCTTGTTGGCCTCCCAGGATCATCGTGGCACACAGCAGGCAAATTCTGCTTCTGTCCCGCTGGACCGGGACAGTTGTCCAAGGCCACTCTTCTGGCCGAGAGCCGCAGCTCACTCGGTTGCATCCGACGCTGCCATGTAGCACTTCGTCGTCTTGGCTGGACACACCACTCTTTGCCTGCACCCTTGCTTTTCCTGCCCGTCCGTGGTCTTCATCTCCCACCCGCACCCCTCTCCTGTTTGCTGCGTCTCCCAATGATGCATGCTCGGCTCGCCACTATCTGCTTGTCCTTGCGAACCTGCCTTCGAGCATACGACGCAGCCCCATCCTTCCCTTCCCTTCCGTCCCGTCTTAACATTCTTCAATATTGCGCTGGCTATCTTAAAGGTAAGAAAAGGTTTTGCACCTCTTGGCCCACCAAGACAAGTTTCATCAAGTGCTCGAGTGCCGGATCTGTTCCGTCATACTAGCAACAAGGGCTCAACTGCCCTCTCTCTTACGAAACTGTCGGTGGCCCATGGCATCTGTACGCCCCAATAATGGTGGCCTTGCTCAGTGTTACCTGCGCGATCCCCATCCTCCGTGGGGTCTTCCTGGTCCTATATAGTTTGATCACCTCCGGGTCCCGACTCCACCTATGACATCTGGGCTCTACCCTGCCCCTGCTCCCTGCCCTCCCCTGTCTTTGGCCTCCTTTGCTTCTTCCCCCTGCTCCCTTTTCCTTCTCTGCCGTCAGCCTCGAAGCTGTCTTGTCTCAATACCCCACTGGTCTCTGGGGTCGGAGTTGACGCTTGCCGGCCATTGTCTGCTCAACTATTAACATCGTCCTCCCCAGCTCTTCTCCTCCGCTTACGTCTTTCGTCCGGCTACTTCCTCCTTGCCGGTAGCCCTCACTCTGTCGACGTCGCTAGTAATCAAGACGGATGCTCAGCGTCTCCGACTATCCGCCATTGCGATCATAGCTGGAAGGCAACCGTGACATCTGCTCAACACCTTCGGGATCGATAGTCACCATGGCCAGATGGAATCGCCTGATCACCTGGGGCCTCCTCTTCCTCTGCCTCCAACTCGTCGTTGCTCATGTTGCGATCCCAGTTAGACGACAAGAGACAGAGGCCGGGACCTCGGCTACTGCCATTGCTTCTTCCATTCGATCCGAAAGCGCACTAGGTGCTGAGGCTACGACATCACCGGTATCGTCGATAAGGTCAACGCCGGTCACCACCACGGCCTCAGTTCAGTCCTCCGACAGCACCGCTAGTGCCTCACCCGTCCCAACTGTGTCCGGAGGCAACACGTCCGACAACTCCAGCTTGTTCAACGGTAAGTGATGTTCTACTTTACACTCCTGACACCATCCATCAAACCGAACACTAGGACGAAACTGACTGTTGTTCCAGCCACCATCCCTGATGGACAACTGCCCCTTCAGCCGGTCATCACACCCGGTTGGGCCGTGGCCGGCGTGATACTCATGTGCACCGGTGTTGTTTATACTCTGGTTGGGATCAAGAATACCGTCGTACATAATGCCTTCTCGGTTGCGTACGTCGTCGGCCTGGGCATATCGGTCTTGATTATCTACGTCATGGTCGTGCCAGTCTCCAACGCGTCTCAGGGAGCCTACGTTGTCGCCGCCGTCTTACCGGCTATTTTCGCCGGCGTTCTCTCCTCTTGGTTCTTCAAGGAGATCACAGAGTGTCTGGCATGCGCTCTCGGCGGGTTTTGCTTTGCCATGTGGCTTCTGTGCCTTCACGACGGCGGTCTGCTTTCGGGCATTGCAAAGGTGGTCTTCATCATTGCCTTCAGTGTGGCCGGGTTTGCTACATACTTCACACGGTGGACACGCGATTGGGCCCTGATGATCACCATCTCTTTCACTGGCGCCACCGTGACTGTGCTCGGCATCGACTGCTTTAGCCGCGCTGGGCTTAAGGAGTTCTGGGCCTACGTCTGGGGCCTGAACGACAACCTTTTCCCGATGGGCGCCGACACATACCCCATGACCAAGGGCATTCGCGTTGAGGTTGCCGCGATAATGGTCATGTTCTGCATCGGCATCATTTCTCAAAAGAGGCTGTGGAATGTCATCAAAGAACGACGCGCCAAGCGAGACGAGGAGCTGGCCGAGGCGCAGCGTGCTCGGGACGAGGAAGAAGCGAACATTGGAAAGGAACTCGAGGCACGGAACGCCCGCGAAAGACGGGCGTGGGAAAAGGTTCACGGAGACTTCGTCCCCAATAGCTCGGACCACGACTCCGGCTTCGCTCCCGACAGTGAGAGCGAAAAGGCCGTACACTATAGCCAAAGCACCGCCATCGGTCGGTCGCAGGACCCGCCGGTGGCCGAAATGGAAGGCTCGGATGTGCCTCCCATCGTCCCTCCCAAGCCGACGGCCACGGGCCTAATGGTAGCAGAGAAGGAAAAGGACGGTATGGTGACGGTGCGGGTTGCAGCCGACGACACCATTACAGACTCCGACGCTGCAAGCAAGGTGGTCTGTGAGACGACTGCGGCTCAGCAAGGCACCGCCGTTGTCGAGAGCGCACGAGAAGTGGCGCCGGCTCCCGAGGTGGTGCCTCTACCGTTTAGGTTCCCGGATCCGGAAGAGACTATGGCTAGGGAGAAGGGAGACAGATCCACGATCGCCACGTTCGCCGACGATGACGAAGGTGAGGCCGACACTGGCAGCAAGCGAAACTCCCTGGCGAAACGTCTTTCCTGGAGCTCGGCACAGCTCATGCGGAAGGTCTCCCAGCGCACGTCGGCGTCGCTTCGTAACGTAGACGGACTGGCCACCGAGGAGCTGATGGGTCTCAGACGGCCGCAAGATGACGACACCGGTTCCATCGCCGCGACGATCGACACCCAGAATGACAGCGCCGGAAGCATTGACCGTCATTCACTCCGCCGCAGTATCGAGGTCAACGCCCAGCTTGCTGATGGAAAGCCAGCGGACCAGAAGTCGGAGAGCAAATCGACACATGCATCTCAACAAAGCATGAACGGCGACGACATCAACAACCGAGTCTCGGCGATGTCAATCACGTGCGACGTCGCGAACAAACAACCGCCTACGGAGCCCGTCTCCCCGATCGTCGCCGAGATGCCGGAGGAGGATGTGAAGAGCTCTGACGGCGACGCTGCCAAAGACAGCATCACATCGAAGCAGCACGAGCAGACAAGCCTCGACTCTAGCCCGCAGCCGGCTGAAACCACCTCCCAGAAAGCCAAGTCTACAGCCTCGGTCGATTCTGCACCCGTCAATCTGACGCCAGACCGGCTGCCGCCTAGTTTTTCCAACGTTGCGCTTCACTACCGGACAAACGAGTGGGCTAAGCATCTCAGCCACGCAGAAGCACCTGAGCCAGACGTCTTGCTGCTGGCCGAGGACAGACCGCCGACACGGGAAGCCCCGGCTCCGGTGCACGTCGAGGAGCTTCAGCAGACGGCCTCGTCCGCCACGCCAGCCCCAGTGCCCACCAAGTCGCCCGGTCCCATGCAACAAAGACCTTTGCCAAACTACGCGCCGAGTCGCGGTGGCCACTCGAGAAACAACTCGTACCAGTCTCACCGCCGAGGATCAAGCAAGACGCAGTTCGAGCCCATTGCGGAGGAGGATGTGCACGTGGCCTCTAAAGCAGTCAGCACAAGGAGCGGCAGCTCGGGTCCATCATCCGCGTCTCCCGCCACCCCCGTCGGCTTCGAGCGGCCGCCTCCACCTCCGGGCATTATGTCATATGACAGTCCCCAGAGCCTCATTGCGCAACGGAGCCTCGCCCTGCACAACAAGACATACGGACTCTTGACTGCTGGCGGCAACACGATGCCCGATATCCCCCTCGTGGCATACCGTTCCGCCAGTGAATCCGGTTCGATGCACAACTATCCCCTGTACACGCAGCAAATGGCGCCAGACTCGTTGGACGACCTTCCTCTGAGCCAACGCAAGGAGATTATCCGCCGCCAGAGCAGTCTCGGGACGATGCATTCGCTCGTGGGAGATCCCAGACCACCCAGCGGAGCGTTTATGCCTGGCATGTCGGCCGAGAGCGTGGCCTTCGACTCCCACCAACCTGTACGGTATTCCACCGGGCCGTCACAAGAGGCCCGCGAGGCCAAGCTTGCCAGCTTCCGCAACTCTGTCCGAGCCGATCTCCGCGCGAGCACGGCCGCGGCCCCTATTGGTTCAAACGGTCGCGACACGGCTCTGAGCATGTATCGTTCAGCGAGTGCGACAAGTCTCGCCGACCAGAACGGTGCCCGCGAGGCCGAGATGCAAAGGAACATTGACCTGCAGCGGGTCTTCATGATGAGCCAGAAGGACGCCGAGGCCAAGCGGAAAGAGAAGGAGAGGCTCGAAAAGGAGAGGTCCGATCAGGCCTTCACGGCTCGCATGCAAAGCGGCGAGATGTTTGAGCTGCACCGGGAAGCGATGCGGAGGATGCAGAGCCGAGCGAGAAACGCCTAAGACGATAATGGGCGTGGCGCACAGCACAGCGCGAACTTTCTTTTAATGTTTTTTTTTTTCTCTTCATGTTCTTTTTAAAAAACACAACATTGGTAGATACCCTGGTTTGGAAGTTATGGTTAGACACAGTGGGGGGAAAACAGCACGTCGGGACAGAATCCAAGACGGTCATGGCGACAACAGAGTCGGCAAAAAAAGGAGACTCGGGTGTACGGGATACGAAGCTTAAGGGCGATAAATGACGGATGGTTGTAATGTCCGTACGTGACGACGGAACAGAGAAGGCTGCGAAGGAGTTAACCACGATACCCTCCTGGAGTTAGTCGTAAACGTAATAGTAAAACACTGAACCGTAAGATCCAATTGTCCACCTCGAGCACCGCCCCATGCAAACCGCCGGCCACCAGAGGTGTGATTGGACGAAGGAGTAGAGTCCCCGGCGACTGTAGGTTGTTAACCGACCCGCACATGCCCCCGACCGACAGACCGGCGATGGTTTGGCCAAGCCGGCGCGGCACCGACACGGACGCCCCCAAGACTTCTTGGATTCGCTGGAAATGGCACGCCCGAGTAGATGATCAATCGCCCGGATAGCCGCCGCACGCGTGCTCGACTGGCGTCCACGGGACTTCTTATCTCATCACCCAGCCCCCCCTCGGTAACACATTTTTTTTCGGTCGACGCCCCGATGTCGGAATCTCCATGGCCCGGTCGGTAATAGCCCGGCCCCACCCGCGACCGACGAAACGAGCGTCGACCTGGGCATTGGCGTCATCCAATGTCTCCTATGCACAATCTCTCTCCGATTGTCGAGCGGAGAAAGACATGTCCGCCCCCCCCCTTCCTCCCCCCGGGGAGCACCTGTGTCCGATATCTCTTCAGGCTGATACCCTGTCGCAAGAGGTCCAGCGAGGCGGCCGGTGAAGGGTCCCGGGAGGGTGTTGACTGCAGTCCATTTAACCTCGCCATCACACCAATTCTTTTTTAAGGTTTTTGACTACAAACATTGGCTCTTTCTTTCCCCCACGGGAACTTTGATTAGGTTTACGGGGTTCCCGCGCCCCAGGGGGAACGACTCCGAACCGACTGACTCCACTCCACCGTCTCCCAGCTGTGCGAGAGCCTCCAACGATCTTTCCCCAGGTGTCTCTTTCGGGCCCCTGAGACCTCGAGAAACAGCGTTTGTGAGATGGCCGGCCCCGCGGGCGACCAGAGCGAGACGGAGGCGAAGCGCCCGTCCGACGCGACGGCGTGGTCCCGCTTCCGCACGAGGGCGGTCGGGATCGTCAAGCTCGTCCTCGCGCAGTGGCTCGTTATCGGGTTCGCTCTGAGCTGCGTGTTTGCGTACCTCTTCCCCAGTAAGTCGGACGCGATGACAACCGCCGCCCCCCCCCTCCCAGAGAATCGTCATTGGCAAACGCTAGAATGAGGAGAGCCGTCGCTGACGGGTCTTCTTTTCCCTCACCGCGCAGATGTCGCGGCCCGCGGCGGCCCGATTAGGTCCGAGTACTCCATCATCTACGGCGGGATCGCCGTCATCTTCCTCGTCAGCGGGCTGCAGCTCTCTCACGCCAAGCTGCGGGAGAACCTCACCAACTGGCGCCTCCACATCGTCGTCCAGGGCATCAGCTTCATCGTCATACCCGTGATACTCCTGAGTAAGACACACGACTCCCCCCTCCCGTCACCCCGGCTCCTTTTTCTCTCGCATCTTCACTCGTGAGAATGAAGGATGAAAAGGGAAATGGGCCAAAAGAAGCAAGGCTGATGGCCCGGGGGAGCACAACCCCCAAAAAAGTCGTAGTTCACATCATCATCGCCGCGGGCGGCCTCCGCAACAACGTGCTCTCGACCCCCATCATCGTCGGCATGGTCGTGGCCTCGTGCCTGCCGACGACCATCGCCTCCAACGTCGTCATGACGCGCGCCGCGGGCGGCGACGACGCGGCGGCCATCATCGAGGTCGTCATCGGCAACGTCCTCGGCAGCTTCGTCTCCCCCGGCCTCATCTACGGCTTCATCCCCAAGACGCCCGAGTTCGCCGACTGGCAGCCCGCGAACCCGAGCACCCTCGGCGCCATGTACGCCAACGTCCTCCGCCAGCTCGGGCTGAGCGTCCTGCTGCCGCTGGCCGTCGGCCAGGTCGTGCGGTGGTACTGGGAAAGGAGGGTCGAGTGGGCACTCAAGACGTTTTACCTCGCCAAGGTGTCGACGTTCTGCCTGATCCTGCTCGTCTGGTGAGTCCATCCCCCCTTCTCTTTCCTTTCTCAAAACGGTCCGCGCGCCTTGCTGACACGACGGGGGATAAAAATGACAGGACGACCTTCTCGGCGGCCTTCCAAACGGGCGCACTTTACGTGACGCCCCACGCCTCCATCATCTTCAACGTCTTCATGAACGTCGCCCTCTACGCGCTCTTCACCCTCATCTGCTTCTGCGCCGCGCGCCCGCCGCCGTCGGCGTGCGAGGCGGTGAACCCCCGCGTGGGCCGCGCGCCGGGCCCGGAGCTCCTGCGCCGCGCGCTGACGCTGCGCCGGCTGCCGCGGGAGCAGGCCATCGCCGTGTGCTTCTGCGGCGCGGCCAAGACGACGTCCCTGGGCATCCCGCTGGCGACGGCCATGTGGACGGCCTCGGACGACCTCACGCGGGCCCTCATCCAGATCCCCGTGCTGCTGTACACCATCGAGCAGGTGTTTATGGCGCAGATCCTCGTCTACGTCTTCAAGTGGTACCTGCGGCGGGCCGCCAAGGCCGAGGCCGAGGCGACGACCGAGGACGAAGAGGGCGGGAGGGGGGACAGAGTGCAGGAGTATTCGGCGGGCTCGGCCGGGCATGACGAGGATGAGCGGAAGGGAAGAAAGGAGCCCGGGGAAGTTGGCCATGTGGTGCCGGTCAAGGAGACATCGCAGACCTAGCGATTTCCCGACCACTTGATTACTGTCAGTGAATTCTGGATATAATACAACAAACGCAATACTTTTTATTATTATCAAAAATCACCCATTCCGCCGCCATCTGAGCTACGCCTGCGCCCTGGATGCAATGCAGTCGTCGTCCTCTGGGGGCACGTGAGCTTTTTTGGGAACCACCGGCCGCTCAAGGTCGCGTTCCATGCCGAAGCACAACTTACGTAGTACTACAGACCCGACGAGCGGTTGGCCGCCAGGTTGTTGGATTGAATGGCGGCTGGGGTCACGCAGCCACGAGCTGGCTCAATTAAAGGGCAAGATCGGCATCAAAGGTCAAGTCCGGGGTTTATTTCGGCATTTCATGTAGTCAAACTACATGATGGGTCATAACAACGAATGAAACACCATCTTCGTACATCAATATCAATCATAAGCAGCAGCTCTTGGCCCTCTCCATCTCTTCTCAACAAAAAAAAAAAAGCTATGCATTTCCAACATGTGTGGACTCTCTCCCCTCTTCCCACGTGAACTGGGCAACCCGCCACAGCAAGCCTACTCCTTCTTGATAAGGCTGTCAAAGAGGGGCTTGAGGCTCTTGGCGCTCTTCTTGGGGTATCTCTTCTGGTCGTTCTCGTAGTCGACAAAGGTGACGCCGAAGCGGGTCTCGTAGCCCTCGGCCCACTCAAAGTTGTCCATGAGGGACCAGGCCATGTAGCCCTTGACGTTGACGCCGTCCTTCTCGCAGGCCTCGGCCATGGCCTTGACGTAGCCGTCAAAGTAGTTGACGCGGAAGTCGTCCTCGAGGATCTGCTCCAGGGGCATGTCGTTCTCACCCTTGAGAGAGGTGCCGTTCTCGGTGACGTAGATGGGCGGGTAGTTATAGCGCTTGGAGAGCCAGACGAGGAGGTTGCGGAAGCCCTGGGGGTTAGGACGCAGCCAGAAGGATTGGGTCTCGGGGCCGATGTTCTCGCCATTCTTGGACTCGAAGAGGGTCTCGAGGTTGCCGAGGAAGTCATCCTCCTCGGGTGGGGTGGTCTTGTGCTTGATGTAGTTGGCGGTATAGTGGTTCATGCCGTAAAAGTCGTTGGAGCCCTTGACGAGGGCGAGCTCCTCGGGGGTGAACTCGGGCAGGCGGTCGCCGAGCTGCTTGCGCATGGAGTCGGGGTACTTGCCAAAGTAGATGGGGTCGGCGAACCAGGAGATGGCGAACTCAATCTTGCGATCGGCGGCCTCGACGTCCTCGGGATCCTCGGGGTCCCAGGGGTAGGTGGCGTCGCCGTTGAGGGTGATGCCGATCTGGCCGCCGTTGGTGGGCTTGAACTCGTCGCGGTAGACCTTGACGGCACGGCCGTGGGCGACGAGGAAGTTGTGGCCGACGGTCCAAGGCTCGCGGGCCGAGTCGCCGACGGCGGACTTGGTCCGGTCGGATGTGTGACCGGGGGCGAAGAAGCCGCTGCTGTAGCCGAGGATGGAGGAACACCAGGGCTCATTGAAGGTGATCCAGTTCTTGCACTTGGGGATGGCCTTGAAGACAACGCGGGCGTAGTGTTCAAAGTCGAGGGGGAACTCCTCGCGGTTCAGGAGGCCGCCGTAGCGCTTGTCGAGGCCATCGGGGAGATCCCAGTGGAAGAGGGTGATGAAGGGGGTGATGCCAGCGTCGAGGAGGTCGTCGACAAACTTGACGTAGTGGTCAATGCCGGCCTGGTTGATTGGGTCGTTGCGACCGCCGACAGGAATGATTCTGGACCAGGCGAGTGAGAAGCGGTAGCTGTTGGCGCCGACGGACTTGAGCAGGGCAATGTCCTCGGCAGTGCGGTTGTACGAGTCGCAGGCGACGACGCCGGAGCTGCCATCGGCGATCTTGCCGGGGATGGCACAGAACGTGTCCCAGATGGAAGGGCCACGGCCGTCTTTCTCGGCGGCACCCTCAATCTGGTATCTGCGGGGAGGGGAGAAGGAGCAGCGTCAGCAAGGGTCCAGCAAGGCGTATCCACGGGCTCGCTTATTGGGAAGGAAGAAGAGGGGGGGTTAAAGATGAGAGTGGGGGACGTTGGACGGGGGGACGGGGGGCCGGGAGATTGGGCTTCGCAAGTGGGAGAGACGGGAGGGAGGACGGCGAAGGGTGGTGGACGGATGCCTGTTAGTCGTCCGGATTGGGATGTCGGCGGGAGACGACGCGAACGTGCAAGGTGACAACGGCCAGGGATTTGGGAAGTGGTCCGCGATGGACCTGCTGGTGAGGCGGGGGTTGATGGCGAAGTGAAGTACGTACGAAGCAGTGGCAAAGCCCCAGAGGAAATCGCTAGGAAGAGACATGATGGGCGGCCCGGTAGGAGTTGCTATAAGCTATTTGTTGTTGGAATCGCTTTTCAGGCAGTGGCGATGCGTTGCGGACCAAGTACTGTCAAACAGGACTGGAGGTTGTGGGATATGATGATGATGATTACGATGGGGGTGAAGTTTCGATGATCTGTCCCGGCACAAAGCAGCGACTCAACAACAAGTGAACAGCGGCCGTGATGAAACAAATGCCGAGTCGGTTCGAGATGGGGGGCAGGGTGACGAGAACGAGAGGCGGATTGAGCAGACAGGGAAGTGAGTGAGGCGCTGGGACAATACTTATAAAACGCGGACAAGGGACGGAAGGAAAAGAAGCGGTGGGATCAAAATGCGATTCCTACGCCGCTCCTTGGATGGGGATGGGATACTTGGACGACCTTGGCAGCTTTAGGCAAAAAGTGAGATAGAAACATGATCATGAGGGTCTGTGGAAAATAGAATGGCCTGCAAGGATGCAGCGTCCAGACATGGGACAAACACCCGCAGACGAACGACGGACGACGACATGGGATGAGTGAGTGCGTGGATGCGGATGTGAATGTGGATGTGGATGTGGATGCAGGATGACGATTCGCAGTCCTGCATAGGTAGTCAATCTGGCACCCAAAACGTCTCCAGAAATTCTCCCGTGACGGACCGTCGTCACCGAATAGCTGAGACTGGACATGGCCCGAAGGAGAGATGGCGTCTGATAGGTGGGTAGGTGGGTAGGTACTATGTAGGTAGGTAGCATGAGTTGGAGTACCCGAGGGACGGGTATCGATGCCTGTCTATGTTTGCTTCGCAACGGAAACCCTCCGACGCAGTACAACAAGTACCTTAGCACACATGGAACATCTCGGCAAGAAGGTAATAAGTGATGTACATGCCCTGGTTCCCTTGGCTACGAAACTCGCCATTGCCTCCCTCCTGCTTCTGCTACTGCTGCCAATGCTGCTACTCGTGAACAGATGAAATGTTCCATCTTTCGGGATGTTCCTTCCCAGTACCTTGTGCCCGGTCGTGCGCCTCTTCTTCGTAAAGCTTACAGCCTATCCGTACAGATACAGGTACAGATACAGGTACAGATACAGATACAGATACCGGTAGAGGTATCAGGGACTAGCGGCCAGGGGCGCCTTTCGCTACCCCGCCGTGGGGTCCCTTCCCCCAAGACCCCTCTAGGTATTATTTCCCTCCTCCCCGCCGCTTGCAAAAAAAAAAAAAAAAAACCACACGACGGCCCGTCTCTCCGATAGCTCACGTCCTTCTTCTGCCCAGCCCTCCCAAGAGCCGAGTCGAAACAAGAACATCCCGCGATCTCCCCAGCTGACGATTTCCTCGACCGTCTCATTGGGCGCCGACCTGCATTCGGAACCAGAACCAACATGAAAGGCGCTAGAAGCTCTGCAGCCACGTTTCGCACGCAACACACGCGCACACACACACAACAGATTACAAACAAACAATATCTACACGCTCTCCTCGGCATCCTGGCGGCGGCGCCGTCATGCATCCAACGGCTGCCCTTGCTAGATCCTCGGCCGACGGTTCGCGCTCCATTGATTGGAAATGATGGCACAAGTCTTTTGCTGTCTGGTTGCTTCGCCAGGACCGGCTGATGGCAGATCTGCCTTCTACATATGTTTGACAACCTTTTCGTACCACGCAGCCGCTCGCATAAGGCGAAAAGGGAGGGGCTACGGGGAATTCTCCCGATGTTCCCTCGTCCCCTGACGCCAGGTAACCAGCCATCTTGGACTACCACCACCACCTCCACCACCACTACCAACTGCCAGACGCATGTCCCCACCATATGGCCCCCCATTGGTTTCGGCGAGCGGACGTCGGACGGGCATATTCGCCGCAACGTCCACTCGCCGTCCACGCGCTGTCCAACCCCCGGGCTACGTGTCAACGCTCTGATATAGGCAGGTAGGTAAGTAGACAATACGTCGACTGAACACTGGACACAGAGAAAATCACTTGATTGCGGCTAGGCTTACTATTACCCATGGTCTTGCTCGTCCTACAATCCACTCTTCTAGGTACCCATTCCGGCTACCCAGTATGAGAACACAGTATTGTACGAACACTGGACACTTGGCATCAACATCAGCTCCAATCCGAAATGTTCTGTCTCCTTTGACGCCGCAGTCATGCACCCTTGAGTAGGGGTACGACGTCAACGTGTGGCCGCAATCTCAATTCCGCCCCCCTCCCCCAAAGCCGACCAGCTGCATTCTCGTCGCCTTCCTTTGCGCGACTTCCAACACACGAGTATCACATGAAGAGCAACCGCTTCATGCTTGCGCGGAAGCCTACAGTTGCTTTCTGCTCCAAGGATGCCCTTGTTACACCACCGCCTCTTCTCTCTCGTCTTCGGTCGGCGACGCCGTTTTTGCCGGATAGCGGGGTCCGTCTTATCGAGCCAACGAGCCTTCGGCCCCAGGCACCGGGAGCTCATTGCCCATCAAAGTAGCAATACACAACGCGCGCGGTCAATCACCGGAGCTTTTCACACACATCATCATTAACGCATCTATCTATGTGAGCAGCCTCTTGTCCGGCTACTCTTCTTATCGTGGGCACTTTAGGGTTGCGCATCTCTGCCCGGCTAGTCCACGTTCCCTTTCCCTTTCAATCTGCGGTGCTTTTCATCGGACTCCATACGCTCTCTCCGCGGCTCGATACACCCGGGCCGATATCTTTCCGCATCAACGCTCTCCTGCATACATCTCGCCCGCGCCTTTTAGTACATGCCGTTCTTCGTCCAAAGCTCAAAAGGCCGTCCAGGGGCTTCACCTATAGCTCACCGAGGTGTGCGGAAGCCGGGACGAAGGTGAGTCGGCCCAGTCCAAGCAACCCCGGCCTCGCTGCTACCTACCCTGTTATTAGGATGCACGACATGGGCAGGGCTTACTGCATGGCGTCGCCAACCGCATCATCTCGGTCTCCCATCTTGCGTTTTCCAGGAAGGCTAATCGTCATGTCAACGTCTTCGGCCGTTGGGGCCACGTTGTTGGCATCGTCCGAGTCGGTCCACTCCACAATCTCCCACTCGACCCTGATCTTCCCGTCGTTGCCGTGATCAGCGACTTGGCTGCGACGCATGCTACCCAGATGGGTCCCGTCGATCAAACTCTCAAACCACGGGACGCCGTGGATTTCCCTTCCAATTACCGTGGTTGTTGTCGGGACTGCGGGCTGCTGTTCCGCCTCTTCGAACTCGGGGATCAGGCCTAGGTCTTCCAGGTCTCTCAAATCCTCGCCTCGGAGGCTGGCCAGCGTCAGATGGATGTAGTCGGCCTCGGTCTGGGGCCGTTCGGTCCAGTAGGACAGAGGCGTGCCGCAGAACCCGCAGAAGTGCCGCTTCGACGGGTGGTTGGGCGATCCTTCAAAGACGCGACGGATCGTCGAGTACTTTTCGTCGGGGAAGAAGGCGTGAGTCGAGCTGCGATACCACGACAGCGGCACGCGGAGCATGGCGGCCAGTGGGGTTGCCAGAGGGACTCCTGCGCATCAGACCATGTTTAACATCCGGGTTCCCGCTAGTCGGTAAAAGGCGAGGCATGCCGTTCGCTTTCAACAAGAGCCTCTCCGAGAAACGCCCGCAAGCGAGTTTGACGAGGACGAGATGGGTGCAACTTACTGTGCATAGAATCCGTGTGGAAGAGCACCTGCGCCCTCTCGGTGGTGCTCTGAGGAACATCGATGATGTAACTGTTGCGCCCGCAATGACAGCCGCCGCTCAAGGCGCGTTGCAAGCTTCTCCCGCTCATGTTCACTGTTGGGGCTTCCTGCTCATTCGGAAAAAGAAGATGAAGAAGAACCGTTTGAATTTGGCGTCTGGATTGTCCGGGTCTGCCAGACAGAAAATGTAGGGAAGGATCGATCGGTAGCTTCTAAGTGGGCTGGTCCTAATGACGCTAGAGGTGTTGCTGAATGTTTTGTTTGCCCGTTGATCGTTACCCCCCCCGAGCTGCAGAAGGCAGGCGGGTAAGGTTGCCTGACGGGCAAGCTCAGATCAGTCGAAGCTTCCAGGTGAGCCCAGCATCCGCCGCGTCCCACAGCAGACCACGCACGCCCCGGTGAGTGACCTTCCACAAGGCAACCCCGGCTGGTACCCGGACTCAGTGGACGGCAAACTCCCCTCCACCCACGCGGGACTTTGCAAGTAAAGCAAACCACAGCCTACGCTGAGTATCTCGATGTCATGTGCAGGTATCGACATCGGTGGATCTCCCGTCTTGCTTCACTTCATAGCGCACTGCCCCCTCCCCGCTCGCCTGCCGCGGGTAGCCTTCTGCGTGGGGCACTTCCGTCATGGGTCTGGTCTCCCAGCGTCTTGTGCTTTTCCAGGCGGGGCTTGTTTGCTTTGCTTTGCCATGCTTTTCTTCTCGATAAAGATTCCATGGACGCTTGGGACGACGCCGGGTTTCAAGAGTCTGGGTGGTGATGCTTTTCCTCACCTACCAAGCAAACTGAATCTCAAGTTTGAAGAGGGAAAAAAAAAAAAAAACCAGAAGAAAAAAAGACCAGGTTCGGCTTGAGTGGGGTTGGTTGATGACTGTCTAGCAGGAAGCTTCTTCTCTCACCACCAGCCAGGAAGGTAGCAGCAATCAGGGAGAACTAGGCAATCAATCAGTCGTTATCCGTACACTACAAAAAAAACTAAAAAAAAAACCTGTCACTTCACGATGCCGTAGTCCTCTCTCCCCATCCCGAGCTTATTCGTCCGGCCACAAAAGGCGGGTGGTCCCGGCCCGTAAAACCGATGTCAGACCCGCTCCACGACGGCCATCAACGCCGGGCCCGCCATAGGCCGACCGCGCGCGAGCGGGCTGTACGCCTGCACGAACGATGCCGCGCGCGCGGCAGTACTCGACGGGCTCCCACTGCTGGCACCACGGGTGCATCTGTATGCCCCATCATCATCACCATCACCCGTCAACAAAGCCAGGTCTGGAGGGGAGGGGAGGGCACTCACCTCGATCTGGTTCACGGCGTCCACACCTTCCGCGTACGCCCTCGTCTCCTCCAACGCGCCGACGCTAAAGTTGCTCAAACCGACCGCCCGCTCGGACCCCAGCCTCTCCAGAGCGGCCCAGAGCTCCCTGCGCCCTTCGACGGGCCTGTGGACGAGGAAGAAGGTCGACGTACCCGTTCCCGTCTCTCCCCGTAGCTGGTAGACGCCGAGGCCGACTCGCGGCATGGTAGCCGTTGTGCCCCGGCAACGTGACGCTTTCATCCACTGCGCCTGGTTTCACCCCTCTGAAACCGATATTGATGGCACCAGTATTCCACAGCTGTTGTCAATACGCGGCTGCATTTCAAAAAGGAGGTTCGACTCACACCTCCCTTTCGGCGTCCAGGCAGACTTGCTTTGACACACCCCACTTGTGCAGGAACAGGACGCTCGGGGGGGCAGGCATATGGTGGATGCAGACGCAGTCAAGAGAACTGGAAGAAGAAAAAAAAATGTTTGGTATTGCAAGAAAAAGAGCCCTCACTGCCTGGCCCGCATTCCCCGAGTATTTACCTCTTTTGGTTCGGCTCCACGATGGCCTGTCGGCCAGCATGCAGATCAACAACGATCATAGTCTTACACGTGTCGTCCGGTTCAGAAAAACGCCCATTAACCTACCCGCGCCATTCAAAAGCTCCGAGCGAGACGAGGCGATTAACCCGTCTTCTTCTTCTTCTTGGGCCTCTCCTCCTCCTCATCTTCCTCGTCCTCGTCCTCCTCGGCATCATCGGCGGCATTGTCAACGTCGCTCTCCTGACTACCAGAGCCCGAACTCTCGTGGTCACTGTCGAATTCTTCCGCGACATCACTCTCGCTCTCGGCGCGGAAGTCCTCGTCGACACTCTCCTCGTCTTCGTCAGCCGAACCACGGTCAGCCTTGGCGGCGCCGACAACCTCCTCCTCGGAGTCGTCCATGGCCTGCTCACGAAGGGCAGCGGCGATCAAGTTCGACTCTTCATCGATCTCGTTCTTGACACGCAGGCCCTTGAGTCTGAAGAACTCCTCGAGGCCCTTAAGATCCTCGCGGTTGATGTTGCTGAACTGTGATGAGCCGGCACCGTTCTTCATCTGCACGGTGATGTCAAAGGTCGAGAGCGCAGACACGGCACCGCCGACACGGGAAAAAGTGATGGATGCCGTCTGCTCGTAGGCAATGTATGTTGCAGGCTTCGGCACGAACATGAAGGCCTTCTCCAAGCAGTACAGGAAACCCTCGCTGGCCTTGATGGAGCACTTGATACCAAACTGGTTGCGGTGACTGGTCAAGGTTAGCGTGGGGCGGGTTAGCAGGGAATATGGGGCACAACGTACGTTTGGAAGTCCTTGGCTGGCGTTGTGATCTTCTTGTTGGCGAGTCCTCTGAAGATGTAGGTAATGACTTGGTGGAGAGGCTGTTCGTAATGGGGCTGGAGCCTGTCTTTGTACCGCTCCTCTATTTGCTCCTCGGTGAGGTTCAAATCGATTGTGACTTCTTCGTCCTTCTTGAACTGCATGACGATGAAGGGGTATCTCGTCTGACCCTGGCGCAGGGGCGGGTCTAGGCCAACGCATAGCAAGACGTGGGTCTCGTCCGGCTTGGGAAGAACCATGAACTTCTTGATGGCGTCATACTGGATTTTGTAGTCGTACGTCTTACCACGGAGACGGAAAGACGCATCGTACATGTCGATATCGAAACGTCCTCTGTTGACAGGTCAGCCAAGGGTCAATCGAGACAATTGACCAATGCACACATACCTGGGTGTAAGGTGCAGAATGTCCAAGAAGGTGGCGATAGTATCGCCTGCGGTCTCTCCAATCTCGGCCTTCTCCATCAGAGTGTCGTAGAAGAGTGTGACGGCATTCTTCTCTTCGTCCCCGGCACCGGCATCGCTGCCGGCATCGTCGCCCTCTGCCTCCTTCTTGACGGTTCCGGGGATGTAGAAGCGCATCTCAACGAGCTGATCTTTGCCGGCTCCGGCCTTCTTGCCCTTTCCTCGCGCGCCGCCCAGGTGACCATTCGTACCGGTATCGTTCTGGTCCGTCGGGGCAGAGAATTCGACGGCGACTTCGTTGCGACCTGCCAGGTTGGTATTTGAGATCTCGGAGTAAGGGATTTCAAAAGCAGGTCGGTTCTGGACGTTGAAGGAAAGCTCGGCCTTTCCGAATTCGGCCTTGCCCCAGTTCCATCCTCTCAGGGCGTGCTCCTTGTTCTCGAGGGCGGTGCTGTACCAATTCTTGAAAATCTTTGCGAGGCGCTCGTAGTCCTGCACGCCAAGTGTTCAGTTAGCTCGGCTTCCCCCGCTTACTGGGGAAGTAGGGGAAGCGTCGTTACCTCTTGTTGGAATCCATCGAGTTGAATGATGCGCGAGTCCCGGTTGAGGATCTTGATCTCGTAGCCCTTGGCAGCTCGACTCCACTGCGCTGAGGCGATGTTGCTGTGGTCGAGGGTGAAGGTGTCGCCACCGCCGGCAGGCTTCCATCCGAGACCACTCTCAGCGAATCTGCATTTGCCGCTCTCCTTGGATAAGTCCAGGTAGATGCTATCGAAACTCTCGCTAGAAGGAGGCATCCTGTTAGCCACTGCAGTTTGATGATGGCAAGAAGACCGCTCTGGATGCGCGTGATGACGATCGGAAAGACATTGCGTTGCGCAAGTCTGCGGCGAAGAAGAAGGAAGGGCGACCACCAGACGGGTGGTCGCAGGGGGTGGTATCTGTGCAGGGTAAGAGTAAGAGCTCGAGGCGCGCACTCACATAGCTGCCATGGTTGCCAACGAGAGATCGAAAAGCCAAGTGTAATAATGTGCGTCGGGACGGGCGAGTTGTGCTGCAGATGGAGGGACGACTGGACCAAAAAGGTGAGTGAGCGACGTCCGGCTCGGATTGCAAATGGTCTGGACGGGTGGAAGGGATGTTGATGGCGATTGCTTGGAGGGTTGCCAGTGATAAAATTTCGGGCATTGGGTTCGCGCGGCGCTGCTCTCCTTGTCGCGCAAGGCTCCAGGCGTGGTCGGTGGCACGGAGACGACGCGACTTTCTGTTAAGTGGCAGGGGGTCTGTGCACCATCATTAAGGCATATGAATGGGTGCTTCGCTGGAAGGTGTGGTGGTTATGTAATCACACCTCGTCCATATGCGGCTTAGCGTTCACCCCGGCCTGCTTGGTGGGCTCAAGTTGCCAAATGTGGGGTAATTTCAACCGAGGACAACCGGCTGTAAACTAGGTTGAAGCTGGGGGCATGAGCTACACTAGATGGAGCTGTAGCACGCACAGTCGAGTGCAAAGTGTCTCAAACAGGCGGGCAACTGGCGTAGTAGGTGGACATGCATGGCAACCGGGCAAAAGGAGACGGAACGTGTCCGTCGTCACGTTGCGGGAACCCTTACTTCTTCTCGCTCCTCATCTGCAGTGCTTGTGCTTGGGGGGCAACGTCATTTTCCGATCCAAGTGATTTACGCGCAGTGCCGTATCGATCTCTTGTTTCTCTAAATTCATTGCTACCGCTTTTCTCTTGGCTACCGTTGCCATGTCCAGCCCTCCATCTCGACTCAAAAACATACTCGGACACCTTCTTTCGTCGTCTGTACCGAAGAAGGATGAGCCTCAGCCAAAGCACCATATTCACCAACTCTCCCCAACATTCTTTCTCGAGCGTGCTGCAGCGATAGAGCCAGATGCCGAGGCCATCTTCCACGTAACGGCCAACGGCCAAACCTTGCGACGGTCTTACTTGGAATTCGCCGACAGAGCACGTGGTCTGGCTTACTATCTCAAGAAACACGGCTTCAAGAGGGTTGGCATCCTGGCGCCCAATACTCCAGCTTTTCTCGAATCCATCTTCGGAATTGCTGCCGCTGGGGGGGTCAATGTGGGTGTCAACTACAGACTGAAGCCGGATGACATCACATACATATTTGGCTTTGCCGAGGTTGACGCCATAATCGTCGACCACGAGTTCGTCCCTTTGCTAGATGAGTTTAAGACGAAGCACCCAAAGGTGCCCTTCATCATCGACACGGACACTGATGCCACTGAGGGAGAATTGAGTGGACCCTTTGATGATGCAGTCCTAGAGGGGCTGCAGTATGACAGTCTCCATGGCCAGGGATGGGCGGGACTCCACTCCCAGTGTGGCAACGAGGATGATATGCTCGCCATTCCGTTCACCTCTGGTACCACGAGCCGGCCCAAAGGTGTCGTATTCACCCACCGGGGGGCCTACTTGGCCGGTATGTGTCTCGCGTTTGTCCATTGTCTCCATACCCGCGTATTATCCTAATACTCATGCGTTGTGGTTGACATGCGCTGATAATCGGCGCTTTTGACAGCCATGGGAAACGTCATTGAGTCGGGGTTGAACTATCATAATGGACGCTGTAAATTCGTAAGTGGTGGCCATAGAATCCAGCTTCCTGCAAATCTGATGCTGACCGCGCTGCCTTGCAATGTAGCTATGGACCCTCCCCATGTAAGTCATGACTTGTTCCCCCCGGGTAGGGCCCTGCTAACTCGTCAAAGGTTCCACGCTGTTGGTTGGACTTTGTAAGAAGATACACCATTTTCTACTCCCATTCTTATACTAACCTATTTTAGTCCATGGGCGGTGACGGCAGTACGCGGTACACATATCTGCCTAAGAAAGATCGACTATCCTCTCATCTGGAGACTCCTCAAGGAGGAAGGCGTCACTCATTTCAACGTAAGCATCACCGGCAAAAGAAATAAAGCCATTCAAGCTCTGACGCAGCATATGCAGGCGGCACCAACCGTCAACACTCTCTTATGCTCCGCAAAGGAGGCGGAGAGGTTGCCTCACGAGGTTCGGGTGACCGTGGCAGCCAGCCCTCCGAGCGCGCATCTTTTTGAGCAGATGGTGAGTGGATGTGCAGAAGCCCGTGTCCTGCGTCGGCATGGCACTGACGCAGACAGACGAAATTGAATCTCTTCCCCGTCCACGTGTACGGAATGACCGAGACGTATGGACCCATCACCAAAGGCTATCCTATGCCGTCGTGGGAAACCCTCCCGTCCAGCGAGAAGTATGCCAAGATGGCTCGTCAGGGCCACGGGTTCGTGACGAGCCTTCCCATCCGTATAGTCAAGACGGATCAACCGGAAGGTGTTCTCGTTGACGTGGCAAAGGATGGCAAAGAGATTGGCGAGATTGTGTTCTTCGGCAATATCTGCGCCAAGGAATACTACAA